GCTATTTTTTTTTTTTGGTTGCAGCCATCATTGTTGTTTGGCGGGCCTGGACTGGATTCGAACCCGCCACCTTAGGTGTATGTGGCTGGCGCCTTAGCCGCTTGAGCCACAGGCGCTGAGCCACATGCTGAGTTTCGAAAGTTTGTGTATTTGGATTCACCTGCTTCCTCCTGCCCTAAACCACCCAATCCCAAAAACTTCTTCTGAAGGTAAAGATAAAGAATGATTCTTTCCTTTATTCAGCAATTTTCTCCCAGTCATTCCCTTTCACTCAGGAACTAAACCGTTAGTTTAGGAATTAACTCGTGATCTTCTAGCCAGACTTGGTTAAAAACTATTCAATATGGCTTTCTGGAAGCATTATCATACAAGTCGCACGGAGCTCTTTTCGAACTCATTTAAATTCTGAACCTGAAAAACGGTGGCACTTAAAAGAATCCAAAGGTTTGAAAAAATATATTTCATTAGGCTAAAATAGCACAGGGCGATCTGACATGAATTTCCCCCAGGACTCTGAATACATTAGCACACTTAATCTTCCCACCTGCTGCAAGTATGCAAAATAACAATTTTTTTCTAAGAAATTAACTCTCCAATCTTACTTTTAAAAATAAAAACTAGAACATTTTATGACTCTGAATTTTTATGTTATTAGCACATATTTTTATAAAGGTTTATTTTTCCTGACCCTAATAACTTACCTATAATAAAAGAATAATTTATAGTAAATGTCCCCAAAGCTCTGTGAGTAGGAGTTCAGGGAGTTTTATTCAGAGATACTTGAGCCACGTATTTATTCTTACGATTTATTCCTTTTATATGAAAGGAAAACAATTCTAATGAAAAATGCTTATTTTAACTTATTTTTAGTGATTGAACACAATAATAATACTATCTGGACACTCACAACATCAAATATATACAGTAATCAATTTATCTATCACACGCACTCATAACACATTAACAGTATTCAAAACATACCTATATTACAAATAAGAGGAGGTAAAATTCAAATATTACACACTGAAATGGACAATTATATCCTTTTATTAATTACTATCAAGCCAGCTATAAAACTATTGAGATTAAAAAGGCAATTCTATAATCACTGAGAAGTAACTGGTTGCTATTAGAAATTCATGGTTTTATTGCTCAAGATTTAAATTAAAATCTGCAGTTATTTAATTTTACTGTCTAGAAACCTTAACATCCTTTCATTTCCAATATAAAAAAGCAATTCATCTACCTGTGTGAGGGGCCCCAACATAGCCGATGATTCTAATCCCGAGACTCTGTCCATCTTTTTTAATGAGTTCAACACTGTAAGTTTCAAAAAGAGAACTGTCCTAAAAGGAAAAAAAAAACCAAACTGATTTTAATCACATGTATTAAATTACACAGCCTTGTATACAGTCTTTTGTGCAAAGCTGGCCAAGTATTCTCTTAGCATTTATGGTAGGTAGAATTTTTTTTTTTTGAGACACAGCCTCAAGCTGTCCCCCTGGGTAGAGTGCCGTGGCATTACAGCTCACAGCAACCTCCAACTCCTGGGCTAAACCGAGTCTCCT